ATAAAAAATTTCTTCTATTATACCAGCCGCCACTACCACAACCACCACTTCTTCCACTACTACTACTACTACTATTACTGCTGCTGCTGTAGTTGCTACTACTACTACTACCACTGCTGCTGCTACTATTACTACTACTCTTATTACTACTCTTATTACTTTTGTTCGTATATATTTATTAATATAGATACGTATATTTAACAAGCAGTCGGAAGATAAACACGTGCATACACACATACATACACACACACACATACAAACATATATATATACACACACACACACAAACAAACAAACATGCATTAACTTCGGTGCAAATATCAAGAGGTTACATATAATTATTCAATAACAACAACAAGACCTTCTTATTCATGATTTGGGTACACATATTGTACCTCCTAACCCACACATATACACACACACAAACATACATACAAACAAACAAACATACATACATACATACATACATACATGCATGCATACATACACACATACATACACACATACATACATACATACATACATACATACATACATACATACATACATACATACAGCCACCCGTCTTTTCCATTGTTGGCACTGGTTTTTGAGAAGTGTGAGCTAGCCACCTGCACTCCCAGAGATATCACGACCAGCCACAACGATGTCTGTTCCTCTGAGTCCTTTGCTGAAGACATCAGGGTTTTCGCTAATCAGGTGATTGAATGAGTGAGTTAAAGAGTGAGGGAGTGAGAACAGAGTGAAAGAGTGAGTGAGCGAGTTTCAGAGTGAGTGACAGAGTGAATGGCGGAGAGAGTGGAAAATGGATGAAAGGATGAGTGAAATGATGTATAGACTGGTCATGATGATTGGATCCAACTAATCATATTGATGCTTGTTCGTCTGAAGTGATTGTCGAAAATATTTGAGTTTTTGCTAATCAGATGAGTGAATGAGTGGAAATGAATGAGTGAGTGAGTGAATGAATGAATGAATGAATGAATGAATGAAGATGAATGAACGAAGATGAATGATTGAACTATATTTCTAAATCACATTCTAAAAATACTCGGTATAACTATGGCTAATAAGGCGAACGAACGAATGAACAAATTAGAAACTTGCTTTGGAACGCACTTTATGAACGCTCTAAGATAATAATATAAATAATAACAATAATAATAACTATCATAACAATAATAATAATAACAATAATAAATATAATAATAATAATAGCAATAATAATAACAATAAAATGATCTAAACAGGTGAAACTTGAGAAAACCTATTACGTTCCGAACCCTGAACTGGATAGTTTAGTGAGATTTTTTGTATATATACAAACATACATACATACAAACATAAATACAAACATACATGCATACATACATACACACAAACAAACATACATACAAAACAAAATTTCTCATGTTACGTAACATACAAACCAGATGATACAAGCTATCATACAAACGTACGAAAAAATAAATACAAACAAAGCATACAAACAAAGCATACAAAACATACAAATATAACATACAAACAAAATGTACAAAAAAACCAGATGATACAAGCAATCCAAGTTCTAAGATTCCATCTACTGGAACTTGAGAAGGTAAGTAAACAAATAACATTATGATTAATTGCTGCCTCTTGTATTTTGTATTTTTGTATCCTTGTATCTTTGTATTTTGTATCTTTGTATTATTTATTTGTCTACGCCTCATTTTGATTTCTTTGTATCATTCATTCGTCTTAAAATCACTTTGATCTTCTTTTATTTTCTGACCTGGTATATTTTATTTTTCTTCGTATTGTTTGGTATTTTGCATGAATTTTTTTTATTTTTGTATTATTCAATTTGTTGTTTTTGTGTCGTTCAATTGTCTTTGTATTATTTTTTTAATTTTGTTTGTTCTTTGTTTTAATTATATACCTTTGAATCATATTAATATACTCCTGGTTTGTGTTTGTGCATACATAAAAACATAAATACATTCATACAAACACACAAGCACATATGTACGCACACATACAAACAAACATACATACAAAAACACACATAAGATATCTGGCTTGCCGTCTCGTTTAACCTACTTCTTCCAACCACCAACAACAAATAATAATAATAATAATAATAATATTATTATTATTATTATTATACCTCTTAATAAATACTTTTGTTAAATAACCAATAATCATTTTTAAATATTTTAAATAATTAAAAAGTGAAATTAAATGCTCCCTGTCTTAAATAAATATGATTGAAACAAAAATAATAATAATAATAATAATAATAATAATTATTATTATTATTATTATTATTATAAAAAAAGGTCAATAATACAAATACACAAAATACCTGATGATGGTATATTAATATATTTTCACGATAACTTTTATAACAACAAAAAACAAAAGATAACAGTTACGATAACAACAACAACATCAACAACAATATCAACAACAACAACATTAGCGACAGCAACAACAATAACAACAACATGGTTTCCAGTAC